GCAAAAAATCAAATATGCATTATGATATAACACAAGAAACATTAACGAATTTAGGATTTCTCAATGAAAAAGTACTATAGTGGTACCATGGTACAAATGATGGTCTCAGAGGGTAATGCCAAGATTGCATGCATTTGGCGGACAATTTTATCTGAAGTGACATTAAAGGCATACATAGAATCATTTCTAGCATTCCCTGGGAATTAAACCCAAGACCTTGCTATTATCAGCACCATGCTTGTGATGTTCCTCAAATTTACTTCTGCTAAATTACTATATGCAAACAAAAATGCTTAAGTGACAGCAATATTAAGCGAACCATGGAATATGGAATATGCTTTATCGCTGATTTGGCCTCATTTTATAATTGCAAATTTTGCAACATCGACACTGTTATTGAAATGAATTGAATCAACAATGAACCTACTCAAAGTAAATAATGACACTATTGTCTTCTATAGAGCTGCTTATAGCTAAACTGAACACGATGAACTTCACACAGTAGTTTAACTGAACTGAATCAACAATGAACTGAGCTGAATAATGACAGTATTGTCCACTTTAGACATTCTACTAACTATAAGTAACTTTGCAAATCAAGTCAACTAACTCTCATTAATTTGCAACTACATGTAAATAACTCTCATTAGAGAATTAGTAGACTGTTACGCTAAGGTTAGGATTAGGGTTAATAGAATAAGTTGACATGTACTTGCAAAGTTACTTAGAATGTCTGTTGAGGAGCATTAAAATAAAGTGTTAGCAGATATTAAGCAGACAGTCTCCTAATTCTCTAATGATTGCTAGTTGACATGTAGTTGCAACAGAGAGACATTAGTACAATGTCTAATTGTATAAAGTCTAATTGCTTTATAAATAAAGATGACTTGACTACTAAAAATCACCAATGGTAGTCCCACCATGGTACTAAAAACCACCAGGTTGTACTACAGCACTTCAAATTCAGTAACATAAAAAGAGACACTAACCAGAAAGGGGTTTATTGGGGAAGATCTGAGCATAAATATGGGTCTGTATGATGAGTGAGGCTTTGGGGGCTTCATCAGCACATGCAGACACAAGGAGAGTCTCCTGGAGACAGAGCGGCTCCGGGCAGCAGTCCGGGACAGATGTTTCATTCCCACACAGCTGCAGACTGCGGTTGAGACTCACTCGCACCAGGAAGGCATTCTGATATATTGGTATTCAACAGAAAGAATATATGGTATTCAATATTGCAAAGGTCCAGTATTGGTTATGTTTTGACTAGTTTTCCTCAACGTATAAACTTGGACATTCCACTTTTTGGGGGTCAGTAAGATTTTTATTTAAGGAATTAAAATCCCGTTCACAAGAAGAATGATAGCTATAAAGATAACTATAAGGATAAATATGTTCGCGCCCACACCAGCGGGTGATATCGTTCTTCTGTTAATAAGCGCAGGTTTGTCGTCTGCTGCTTAAAATGCTCGAGCTCTTCAAAGCAGGATGGGTTCTGATTGGCTGTCAATGTTTTTATCTTTAATCAGCTGGAAAAAAAATCGTTCTGAAAGTGATTCCAACTATATCACTTCTTTGTTCCGTTAGCGTTATAGCTGTGGTGTGAACTCTGTGAACTATTCTAGTGTATAATGTGGTGTATTTCAGGTTAGGTGAGGGGTTCTTGTGGTATATGAGCCGTGGGCTGTGTTTATGAAACCCTGAGGCAGAAGTTTCAACAAAAGAACGCAATACGTCATTTAGCTTGAGGAGGCATACTGTGGAAAATAACAGTATCTGGAAAATCAAGCAGTCAAAATGTATAGTTGAGGCGCTCATTCTGGTTTGTCAAACTTGAATGTCAGGGATATTCCTAGCACGTTCATTGAAGTCAACCGGATTATTTTTCCCCATAAAATTTGTTAAATTTTCATATGAACAACAGACATTAACGTACAAATCAGATCCATTCCATACTATGAGCTGAAGCAATGTTTTTTATGTTTTTAAAATAAGTATCTTATGCTCACCAAGACTTATTTGCTCAAAAATACTGTAAAAACAGTAATATTGTGAAATATTATTACAATTTAAAATAACAATTTTAAAAATGTAATTTATTCCTGTGATGCAAAGCTGAATTTTCACAGCAGCGTTACTCTAGGCTTCTGTGTCACATGATCCTTCAGAAATAAATCTAATATGCTGATTAGCTGCTCAAAAAAAAAACATTTCTTATAATTTCTTATTATTAACAGTTGTGTTTCTTAATATTTTTTTGTGGAGGACCAAGGATTCTTTGATGAATAGAAAGCACTGATTTGAAATAGAAAGATTTTGTAACATTATAAATATCTTTACTGTTCCTTTTAATACATTTAATGCAATTAAGTATTCATTTTATTAGGGTCCAATTTTTGCTATTAACTAGTTGCTTATTTGCATGCATATTACTAGGATATTGGCTGTTTAATAGTAACTATAAAGCACATGTTAATGCCTTATTATGCATGACCATATCTACATTCCTTCATTCTACCCAATACCTAAACTTAACAACTATTAATAAGAAACTATTCGTTTATTAGAAGTTTATTGAGGCAAAAGTTGTAGTTAGTTAATAGTGAGAATTAGACCAAAGTGTGACCAAAAAAAATCCTACAGAAAAAATACTTCCTTACCAGAGCAACTTACAAGAAAGTGCCATTTCACAACAGTGAAAATTACCACAAAAAGTACCGACTGTTTGAATGCTCTATTAAACTCTAAATAACTGCTACGCCTTGTGCTGAGATGCCTAAAGAAATAGAATGGAAAGTAGTTTCTCATTTTACTTCGACGTCGCCCAAAAGATGATTACAAATCCCTGGGCAAGTTCTGGAGCTCATAATACGCATCTCTCTACAAACTATTTCCCTGATAGGGCTACGCAGAAAAACAGAAGGGGGAATTTCAGTCATGCACAAAAACATTATGCGTAGGTGATCACACCCTGTTTAATGACAGGTTGACTGGAATAAACGTTAATAATACAGATTGCATTTTCCTTTATTTCACCGGGGACTTTACAAGTACATTTCTTGATGTCTTGATTCTCGTTAACTGTTGGAAATTCTTTCCATGTTACATAGCTAGATTTTCCATGTTGCTGATTTTGAGTACCTTCTAAACAGAATAAAGATGGAGATTTATCAAACAGTATTTGCCCTTCTATACTGCATAAACCTACAGTTAATGTGGCAGAATCAACTCACCTTCCCAATTAATTCATATGAAAGATTCCACTGTGTTTGATAAACCGGCACACAAGATGACAATGGGATGCTTCCTGAAGTAGTTCACAATGAAAACATTTGTTGAAGTTCAAATATTACAGTATGCATGGGTAACATTTAACAGTAAGGTTCCATTTGTTAACATTAGTTTGTTCATTAGTTAACGTGAACTAACAATGCTTCTAAAAATGCTTAGTTCATCCAAAAATGAAAATTCTGTCATTATTTACTCACCTCAAGTTGTTCCAAACCTGTATGAGTTTCTTTCTTCTGCTGAACACAAAATAAAATATTTTGAAGACATTGACTTCCATAGGACGGAAAATGGAAACTGTTTGGTTACTGACATTCTTCAAAATATCTTCTTTTGTGTTCAGCAGACAAAAGAAATGTATACCGGTTTGGAACAACTTGAGGGTGAGTAAATGATGACAGAATTTTCATTGTAGGGTGAACTATCCCTTTAATGCATTAACTAATGTTAACTAATGGGACCTTACAGTAATGCGAGTGTTTGAATAGAAATGTTGTGGTAATTATATACCTGTTGCATTTGAGGATGAAACAGCACTGATGCTGAAGGAAATGCCAGACACGTTTCCAACCAGAAATGATGATATTCTTGGACCAGATGCCAGAATAAACGCAGGCTGAAACACTGAAATAATCATACATTCATATATTCCCTATTGATTTCAGATGTAACGTTATGTTACGATTGACTCTGGAATGTAAGGGTTTATTTAAATATTTATGGAGTTAATGAATACATGCTTTATTTAGATTATTAATATATGCTTTAATTATACATTCAAGCTTGCGTTTCTCCATGGCAACAAGATGTTTGCTAACAGTTATCCGGCTAGCTGGCTTTGTTTTTGTTCTGTTTACGGGTTTTCTTACTGATATTTCATTTATCCAAAGCTCACTTACCAACATTACAAATGGTTCCGTCATTTAAGAGCATAATAATTATACACAGAAAATGAAATACGACGTGAGAGCCTAAAAATCGTGTCATATTGTGGCGTTGGTCTGACTAGTCCTCTTCTTCGTGATTGCTTGATGGCGCGCTACACAGAAGAAGAGATCAGATCAGCTCATTAGCGCCGCTCAGTGGCGTTTAGCGCTAGTGTGTGTGTGTGTGTGTGTGTGTGTTCATGTTTATATTACATTGTGGGGACCAAATGACCCCACAAGTATAGTAAAACCTGAAATCACCTACATTGTGGGGACCAGCCAGCGGTCCCCATGAGGAAAACAGCGTATAAATCATACTAATATGTTTTTTGAAAATGTAAAAATGCAGAAAGTTTTGTGTGATGGGTAGGTTTAGGGATAGGGGCAGTGTAAGGGGACAGAATATACAGTTTGTACAGTATAAAAACCATTACGCCTATGGAGAGTCCCCACAAAGATGTGTGCGCCTGTTTGTGTGTACATACATTATATAAACACAAACTTGTAGATAATCGATTTGACAGCACTGGTTACTACCCAGCACTGTGGCCTATATAAAGTCAGAACGTCACATAAAGAATACAGTCCCACCAATAATTGTGTTTGTCAACTCATTTATTAAATTCAACAAGAAGATGATTATATCAAAATGCAACAAACAAACAAACAGAAAAAATATATATTTGTGAATAATAAGATCACACAACTTGGCCTGATTTTATCATAGGCAATGCTGAGTGAGGAAGAACTGGATTTTTTTTTTTTCCTTTTTTATTAAACAGAAAGATGTTAGCTGCCATTGAATGTGTGTGTGTGTGTGTGTGTGTGTGTGTGTGTGTGTTCACTCAAATAGTCAAATTCTTCAGGGCATGACAGCGTTTCTCCTGAAATACAAGCAGACAAAGCACACCGTTAAAACCTGCTTATAAAGAGATTGTAGACTTTCACTTGACTGTCAACGTCAAATTTAATAGTTCTAATTTTTACTGTTGCATTAGTGATACTAATTCTAATTGCATTATTTGAAATAGAGATCTGCTGCACATGCTTCATGTACAAAATGCTCGACTGAGTCCAAGGCTGAGTCCACATTGTTGGTGGTCTGTTTAAAGCTCAGTACATTTTCCGTAGGAGGATGTTTTGGCTTGTGGTTTTATAGTTGAATAGTTTGTGGTTTTGTATGAGTAAGACTTTAACATCCGAATCGAGATCTACTACATATAAACAATGTCATGAGTCAGAGGAAAACCAGAGAAGAGAAAGTGACCAGGACTCGTGCAATAACTTTTACAATGACATGCCTGTTGTGCAACCGGTTTTATGTCATCCGATAGACAACCGAGGAAGCTACTGAATAAATCTGAGGTAAATTACATACCCTGAATTTGGTTTCTTTGCAGTTCTTGAGCCTAGTGTCCAGAAACTTGATATTCTCTTCAACCCACTGCTCTTCAGCGGCAGGCGGGGCGCAAAGGTTACGACCTTTCCTGGTCGTGAATCTGAAAGATAATTGATTTCTGCGCATTATTTGACTAGAACAGTACACACTTTCACATCTGCTTTGCTTAGAAATGTGATCATAAATAGTTTCATTCTCTCCCAGGCTCCCACACATTACCCAGGATGTTGATATCATCCAGCATTTTCCAGTATTTGATGGACATACTTACATAACAGCATCACGGGGGCAGCCGTCACCTTTAAACTGCTTCCGGTAAGTAAGGAGGATGTGTTTAGGAATGGATTTATAGCTAACCGTCAGGCAACAGTCCAATGCTAAGTCCGCCTGAGCCTCTGAGAAAGATCAAGACAAAAGGAGAAATAGAAATGATGAGAGACAAGAGATGGGAAGACAGGACCACCTGTGCGCTGTGTCTGCCTTTAGAGAAGTCTCGAAAACATATGTGTGTAAGAAAAACAACACTTTTTATTGCGCATCATTTACTGTGCTGTGAAGCGAAACAAATGTGAAATGCACAGCTGGGATCAAGTGGGAATAGCAACTAGCCTATAACTAAGATTAAACTGTTTACTAAACATGTGGTTTATGTAATGTTGTATTTATTTTTAAGTTAATGTCTTCGCAAGAGTGTGCAGAACTTATGCTTTATCCTTAGTAAAACAAATTTAAAGACTTTTAAAAGTCATGATTACTAATAATTTGTTCTAATATATTATATAATATATTATTTTAGGATCAATATTATAATATATATATATAAAATTTAATATATAAATAATACATGATGTCTATATTATAATATGCATATATATAAACTAATAAATAATATAATGAATATTAGTGTATTATGAATATTACAATTATTTAATATATAAATGCTAATACATGTCTATATTCTGAATAATGATCATAATAAAACTTATAATAATAATATTATAACTTTTCTTATAAATAATAAAGTTCAAATAGATGAGATTTAGTTTTCTGTGAATACTAAAAACTCGAATTGTTGAGTTGTGTGACACATCTGCTATCTGACAAAGATCAGAAGAAATGAATAAGCACATACAATGGATGAAGGAAGAAAACACGAGCGATTACCTGCCGGACTGCAGTAGAGAACGAATGCCAGTGCACAGAGACTCACACTCAGCGCAGGAATGACGGATGAAGCCATGGCAACGGGAGCAGAAGATGCTGGAACAAGCGTTGAGTCGGTCCTGTTCAAGTGGCTGGAAGATCTGTTTCTCTTTCCTAACACTCTCCTCTCATCGCTCCATCACTCCCGTTTTATACAGTCTTAAGTTTCACTATGACATATAGTCCCTCCCAGTCCTGTAAAAAAAAAACAAATGCCAAAGAGAGGCTGAGCCAGAGGTTGTGACCTGGACAAAAGGCTTACAGCACAATGCACCACATTCTCTGTATCTGTTCCTCACTCTCTCTTTTCTCTTTCACATTTATGCCCACATAAAAACTCTCACAGACTCTCACATACTTTCTCACTCAAAGGCCAATAGTCTGGCAAATGTTTCGATATGACTGAAGAAGTAGTTTAGCTAAACCTGCCAAACTGAACAGTTTGCTCAACTTCATAGTTACTGATGCTTGGCAATGCAGAGCCGGTAATTCCAGAAGGTTAAAAAAAGGAACAATATCTGTTAATGTTTAGTGTTACACAGTTAATTATTATTGGTGTGTGTGGTTTAGGTAAACCCTATGTTAAAATCTTCCCTTAAGATGACAATATCTGTAATACTTGTCTATGTGGGGACATTTTTTGGTCCCTGTATGAGGGAAAACAGCTTATAAATCACACTAAGATTTAAAAGTGCAGAAAGTTTTGATGGGTAAGTTTAGGGGATAGTATATACAGTTTGTACAGTATAAAAATCATTATGTCTATGGAAAGTCCCCATTAAACATGAAAACACAACGCTTGTGCACGTGTGTATGTGTGTGTGTGTGTGTGTGTGTGTGTGTGTGTGGGAAACTACATAGTGAACTCTGTTGGATTTATTGTAAAGGTTTGAATGCATGTCAAAGCACAAACTTTATGTACTGTTTACATGTGGCTTAATGGCTGAACATTTAGGGTTGTAAACATGGTTATTAGATTATACTCTTAAATGTGTAGCAATAAAAATGTAGATAAAATCTAACAGTATTATGAAAAATGCCTTTATTCAGCATTGCCATTGTGCATTTGAATAAAACAGGGGATTCACAAAATTTCAGACTGCACACCCTCTATTATGCCGATTATCAAGCTTCTTATATTCTTTCAAGCATTTGACAAAATACAACAACAAAATGGAAAGTAACAGTAACGTCTGATATCATCATGTTTGTAACGTGAACATTTACATCAGACATGAAACGAGTTTATAATGAGAGTTTCTACCATTTCAAACAGTACCATTTAAAAGGGGTTTGGGGTCAGTACGATTTTTTGGGAAATAAATTAATACTTTTATTCAGCAAGCATGAATTAAATTAATAAAAAGTGATGTTAGAAATTTCTTTTTCAAATAAATGCTGTTCATTTGAACTTTACAATCAAAGAATCTTGAAACAAATTTATCACAGTTTCCACAAAAAAAACTGTTTTCAACATTGATAATAATAAAGAAATGTTTTTGAAGCAAATCAGCATATTAGAATGATTTCTGAAGGATCATGTGACACTGAAGACGAGTGATGATGCTGAAAATTCATCTTTGCGTCATTGAAATAAATTACATTTTTAATATATTACTGCTTTTATAAATGAAGCCTTTGAAAGCATAAAATACTTCTTTCAAGAAAGTCTTCAAAAGGCATACTGCATCTTGTCCAGAAGGACAAATGAAGGAAAACCGACACTGCAGATGAAATAATTGCGGTGGACAGGGGATTTAACAAAATTAATTTATTTGAAAACATTCTTTGCAAAAATTTCCAGTCACACAAAGTTTGATACATATAACAGATGTCCTAAAAATACAGATACAGCTTACATGATATCTCATGCAATCGCTACAGAAAGACAGTACAGTAAAACATAAACAACATACTACATTGCGCAAATAGCATATCAGCGTTTAATCATTTACAAAGTTTGAAATACTTTGTAAATATTTGTTTAAAAAAACAGTCGCAGTTGGTGATTTAGTGAAGTCACTTCCTGTGTATTCAGTGTTGCTCAGTGCAGCAATAGGGTCATCATTTTCTGTAAAGCAGGAAAACGAAACCAGATTAAGAAAAGCTTTTAAAGAAGAACTGCACAATTTCTGCTAAATGTCTGATTCCACTTAAGTGATCTGTGAGATATCACAGAACCAAGAGAGCAGAAGTAAAGCTTGAAAAGGGACATGCAGTGGGAGTTGTAAGTACCATGTGTTCCTACTGAGGAGTTTTTTTCTTCTTGTCCAGGTGTGAGATGATTTTGCTAATCCAGCCGTTTTTCTCTGGAGGAGCGCACAGTTTCCTGCCCTTTTTTGTGATGAATCTATGGGAACATATGGAAAACATGCATTAATACGGTCCAATGTAATTTATCAATGAAGCCAATTGGGAATCAACTGATACTTACACAGTGGCTTCAATGGGACATCCACTGTCTGTGGATTGATGAAAGTAGGATGCAACAACTTGTATTGGGATACGAGTGTCCTTGGTGGATAGACAGCAGTCCACAGCTGTGTCTGAAAATGCTGAGAATTTAAGGCTGCCATTAGTAACGCTTGTCACTGGAAATCCCCCCTCCTCTAATGTGTACTTGACCCCATGCAAGAACAAAACTGGGTCTGTTTCTGGACTTACAGGAACTTGCTCCCACAGTTATATAACTGAGTATTTGAGAAGAACAAGTCAGGACAGAAAAAGCCAAGAATTGCTCTATTTATCAATGGCTGTAAATCTAGAGCTGCAGACAGTCCTCGACTTGAAATTCTGCAGGATGCTTCTGAGAAGCTGCAAGTGTGTGTGCCATGAGAGTGAGTGTTTCAATGTTTCAGTTCCAGTCTTACCTTCTATGTTTCCCCAGAGGACTGCAGTGATGACCAGGAGAGTTACTGTTGAAGTCTGCATTCTTGTCTTTGTGTTTGATCTCTGCAAGAGCATCAGACAATTGTGCACAGGTGTGACATGCAGGTATCAGGTGCATGTATTTATACACAAAAAAATTAACTCACTTTCACTTTCACACTAAGACTTACCGCACCTGCTCCACCCCTACTCGTAAATCCAGCAGTTTTATTTGGCTTCACCATTCCCACATTTCTTGGCTGTTCCCCCCCCCTCAATTCCAGTATACTTCTCTGCAGGGGTGCATGACCTGCTCATAAATTCAGCAGCTTATAAACAAGGACACACACACACAAATCTTACTTAACTGAACTCTCAGTGAATTATTTCGTTGTTGTTTTTTATCAGGGTTTAGTGCTCATAACTTTCGTTTTCTCTACAGAACCTATTCATTATGATCTGATTTAGAATCTGAGACCACCAGTGAAAATATTTCAGTTGCATTTATTTCTAATTTAATACCTTTCAGCAGAAATGTAAGTGATTTGGAAAATGAATTTTAATCATTTCAGAATGTTTTAGAATGTGTATATTAATATTATTAATATAAATATAAATATACGCCACTAATACATTTATTAAATATCTTTTTCATTTGACATTTTATTTATTTATTTACATATATTATTTTTTAACTATTTCACTCCCAACTTTTCAGTAGCCTCAGACTTTTGGGCCCCACTGTATTTCAGTTCAGCATACTATAAAAATTCCCAAAATGCAGTTTGCAGGGAATTCAGTAGCTACTGCCGGATAGAATGCAGCAAACCCGGATAGAAACTGATGGGTGAAATGAATTTTCTGGGAAATGTCTTTAGAGGAGACAGAATAATAATGCACATAATCTAGGTCTTTCAAAGCCCTTCTGTACAACAAAGAGGCATTTAACGTGATCTAGACATGTCATTATCTTAATAATGAATAGTTTGAATGCCTTTTGATATTGGCAAGGATCCGAGGGTGTGTGATTTTCCGTGAAGCAACAACGCCAAGAGCATCACTATTGTCAAGAGACTTAAGGGAAATGTGCACCCACAATAAATAACTGACCTGTCCTGAGCTGAACTGCAAAATGAAAGCTTAATTTTCAAAAGCACAGCCCTCCAACCATTTAACTTAGTTTCGTTTTTTATGAATACATAACGTTCAATTTCTCCATTCTGATTTACAGTAGCTTTCCAAAATCAACAGTCGATGCATGCCAATAACCTGTCATTTTCAGGTTAGACTGAAAAAAAAACTTGCTATGAAGTTTAAACATATAGCAAAGTTTACAGATTTTATTCTGCACACCCTATATAAAAAATACTGCAGGTACAGTAATGTGTCATCAAATTTTCCTTATGTTTTTTCTTTACAATCATTTCTACATACCTCTGTATACTTCATAGGACTACAATCACCTAGTTTTTGCATCCATTTTTTTTAAATATTTGCACCAACAGCTTTTTTTTTGCACTTTTTTTCATCATATCTTTTTGTATTATTTTGCAATTGTATCTTATTGTAAACAAGCCAAGAGTGGGAACCTTTGCTTTTATTCTGTTCAAGAGCATTCTGCAAAAAAACATTCATAGAACACAAGGTTCTGAACACATGGTTCTTACAGTTTTTTCAAATTGCTTACACACTAAAAAGTGGAACTTGAGGCCCACTCAGTGAAACCATTCACTCATGTACTGAATCTTCAGAGTCTGCAAAACTGCAAGCACATTATACGCTTTACACTCAGTTTGAAATTGAAAAACAAACTTTTTGCAAAACTCTAAACACAGTTCTCCACATGCCACACTCATTTACTGATGACCTACACCCAATGATCATGTGTGAAAACACTTATACATAAATTGATCACATAGAAAATCAAAACTCAGCTTTGAGAAAGAAAGAAATTATTTTAAAGCTATAAATATAGATTGTTTCGCAGCAGCTTCACAATAGTAACAAATTCAAAATCGCCTGAGAAGGTGTAAAGTCCAGGTTCAGAAAGTAAAAGTCCTCCTCAGTATTTTGTCACCTGGATTTGCTAATTAGCACAGTTTTTCAGCCAGGGGATACTAAACTAATCAGTGAAATCAGCTGGCTGAGTTCATGGGTGGAATAAACATATGGCAGGACTTTTACTTTCTGACCCCTAGACTTTACAGCTGTATGGCTAAAAAACCTGGAAGAACTGGAAGAGAGGGCAACTCTCTGAGAAAACAAAGGAAATTAACATTTGAACTCTCTCTTGTGAAGTTAGCATCACCATTTGAGACCTATGTCTCACCTCAGAATACATCTCTTTCCCCCTTCCCCCACTCCTTCTCGCTCATGCTTAGATCACCAAAATTCACCCAAAAATCTATTGGTTTAATGTGAATAATTATCATACAGTATTATACAGTACATGTTTGGTATCATTTGAAATGTCTCAGTGCGATTGATACAAATGTCTCATTCCCAAAGAAGTAAACCAAAAGGTAATAAAGTTCTTAAGAGTTTAGAGATAACTTGCACACAGAGGAGGGTGTGTCTTCCAGGCAAATGGCATTCTGCTCCCAAAAGGTGTAAACTCTGAATGCAAATTCCCATTGTTAGCAAATGTGATTTGCTAGAAGTTTCTGTCTATATAAAGAAATGCAACAAGAGGCTCAGACCAAACACCAATTGCGCATTAAAACCCCATCGTCCCGAAAGTATCCTATACCGTTCCACTGAGATCGCGATGGTCAACTGCAGCACTGATGCAGTTTGCGAGTGTAGGGCCTGACTTCTGCGCAACAATCAGATGTTCCTTATACCCACCATGGGAGGAAGATCAGCTGTGAGCTGGGACTCAAGACCAGGCACCATTTCAGTCTCAACAGATAACTCACACTCTACCGGATCAGTTCCCCACAACTGGCTTACTTACAACGATTGGACTGGGAAACCATTACCCCTTGGATGATCATTTCACAATATAAGGCTGATGTTGTCTACTGGCAACTTTTTACACACACCCAGTTGAACCAAGCCCATAACAAGGTCAGACTTCAGGTTAACGGTGTGTAATGGAACACTAACGCAGCCCATTTTGATGCCGCGCTCAAGGACATTTTCGCCAGTATATGAAGCATCAGAGAAGGGCAAAACATCATCCAGAATGAAGGACTGAGCTGACCCTGTGTCTCAAAATTTGTAAGCACTCAACAACAGAGCTGTCAGCCAAAGATACCCTGTCAGAAGAAACAACATTTCAGAACATTTCAGTAATCACACTGGTAACTTCTATAACAAAGTAAAATCTCCAGATAAGTCATTCAACTCATTTGATATTTAGAAGGAAAAATATTGATTAATACCTTGATTATAATCACTCATTACATATACATTGAAGCAGCAGTGGATTCCAATCCACCCCCTTCCCCTACCTCTACCTCTACCAATTTCTTATATAATTCATCTTTTATCACCAGTTTCTGTGCTGCTCTAAAAACCGTTATATTATAAAAGTCAGCTATTACAAGCAGATCTTTTTTCTACAACGATTGAATTCCTCCAACGCATGCAACAGCGTAAATTTGATCAAATCGAAATCCATATTAGATTTTTCAACAATATGGGACCTCCTCACCCACCAAAGTTTAAAGCAGCCAAACAAAACTTACCGATAGATCAAATAATAAAACCATTGAGTTCACAACTACGAAAAAGTGAAAGCACAAGTCCAAATTATGTTAACAGGCAGACGAGCCCCCAATTGTTATGTTCCTCCCCAGTCTAGGGGCCAGGGAAGCATTAACAAGGAAGTTTGTGACAGTTGCTCAGTTGTCACAAACTCCCTTGTTACTGCTTCCGTGGCCCCTAGACTTGGGAGGCACAAAGGTTTTAAGTACAAACTATTTACATAGAAATTCATTCTTCTTGAATTTCATGACTGAGAGCCACAGATGTAATGGCAAGCGCCTTCATTTCTGTTATTCTGTTGGTCTTGGGCACTCATCCAGCTATATGTAGGCTATGACACAACAAAAGTATGTTCACTAAGAGGAAAGTCCCTCAGTGGTTTCTCAGTTGAGAATTCAACATGAAGTTGTGTTTGGATGTGGTATAATGTTGGAGTCAAAGCAAACTTTCCAGTAACCACACTGCAATAAAGCCAACAATACAAACCACAAAGGTTCAGAAGAAAAACCCTATATTGCTCTTACTGAGAAAACCTTGGACACATGAAATATTGATTTTGAATTATTTTACTGTGTGAAAAGAAAGAGAGCGTGGAGTGATAACAATTCTAGAGAGTTGTGCACTAATAATTGTAATATATATATATATATATATATATATATATATATATATATATATATATATATATATATATATATATATATTAGTGCTGTCATATTCTAACATAAAATTCTAATATAAAAGTTTGTTTGCAAACATATGTATGCATATATATATATATATATATATATATATATATACACTCACCGGCCACTTTATTAGGTACACCTGTCCAACTGCTCATTAACACTTAATTTCTAAGCAGCCAATCACATGGCGGCAACTCAGTGCATTTAGGCATGTAGACATGGTCAAGACAATCTCCTGCAGTTCAAACCGAGCATCAGTATGGGGAAGAAAGGTGATTTGACTGACTTTGAACGTGGCATGATTGTTGGTGCCAGAAGGGCTGGTCTGAGTATTTCAGAAACTGCTAATCTACTGGGATTTTCACGCACAACCATCTCTAGGGTTTACAGAGAATGGTCCGAAAAAGAAAAAACATCCAGTGAGCGGCAGTTCTGTGGACGGAAATGCCTTGTTGATGCCAGAGGTCAGAGGTGAATGGCCAGACTGGTTCGAGCTGATAGAAGGGCAACAGTGACTGAAATAACCACTCGTTACAACCGAGGTATGCAGCAAAGCATTTGTGAAGCCACAACACGCACAACCTTGAGGCGGATGGGCTACAACAGCAGAAGACTCCACCGGGTACCACTCATCTCCACTACAAATAGGAAAAAGAGGCTACAATTTGCAAGAGCTCACCAAAATTGAACAGTTGAAGACTGGAAAAATGTTGCCTGGTCTGATGAGTCTCGATTTCTGTTGA